ATATATATATATATATATATATATATTGGTGATATGATATTCAACGCTTCGGAGTATAAGCAAATGAATGAATTATGAAATGGAATGTATCAAGTATGTTTGTGGAGATTTACTTAGACTAGTTTATCACCTACTGGGTCCTGATTCTGTAAGTCCGGATGAATGCTGGTGAGAAATTAGTCTAACGAATCGTCCACCTCTATCGCATTGCAGTTAACCCTTTTAGGGGGCCAGTTGAGGTGTGACAGTTTGAGCCAACCAAAGCAGACAATAAACATATGTATTCTAAATACATTCAATAACAATTTCAAATAATAGCTATGTAAAAAAAAACAAGAATAGAACAAACAAAATAATCAAGCCTTGCACTTGAGTAAGAGCATTGAAACTTAGAAGAGAATAGGATAAAAAATAGACTAACACAAATAAATCACAAGTTAGGCCACCAGCTATAGTGTAATATATGGCATAATCTAAGGAATTTCAAGTGGAATCTGCTTAAGAAATTATAAAACACAAATAGGCACTGGCGTCCGTTGCAAATGGGTTTTAATTATTTAAGTAGACTTGAGCAAATTTCTGCTTTGTACTTATCAGAACCGACAGATTAAAAACTATAAAACTATTAGTAGTCTCAGTGGCATCAAAATTTGTTAACAAAGCGTAGAACAGCAGTATTTGCAAAGAACAACCATACACAAATTTTTTCAGTCACTTTCACAAAGAGGTCTCTTCTTATGCCCTCCCAAAGGTCCTCTTGTACTTTGCTCGAGTTTAAAACTAGCCAATGAAGTAGGCAATATTCTCTCTCCAAGGATGTAAAACACATAATAATTTTCCATCAAAACATAACAAAAAGTATTTTGACCAAGCCCTTATTCCAAATGTTTTTAAAGATGTAATCACAACAACAAGAAGCTTTTCCATGCTATTATATACGAGGTCAATCACATAATATTTTAAAAAGAACAAAAGCAAAGTCGGAACTTTATGCAAATACACTAGAAATAACCATGTTATACTCGTGCAAAGTTCTCCCATTGCATCAGTGAAATATCTTTAACCATCAAGGTGTGTTATAAAGGTTACTACACTCACATATCACTTACAAATTGGGTACATTTCCAGACATACTGCAGCAATTCAAGCCTCAGCTTATTTTTTGAGCACTTTGCTTGAAAGGATAAAAGAAGCTAATTATGACGTAAAATAAACTGCTTTAACATAAACTTGATAGTATAAACAAGCCAAAATAAACATGAGTTCCACAAACCTGCCCAACTACTCTATGACCTCTGAAATCAATTATTGCCATGGCAAGATTGAATAGCCCAGGAACATCAGCTTCTTGGTATGCTTTAGTTCCTTTCAAATCATTATTAGCAGAAGCATATGTTGCCTGCTCACTCTCAGCAATCTGCGTCTCAGCACCAGCAACAGATTTACCATCTGAAACAGTCTGAGTTCCTGTACTTGTGCTCGTGGCAGTGGAACTCAATTCCTTACATTTCCCATGAAATGCGTCACCACAATTCTCAGTGACTGTATTACTTGAAGTCTTTGTATCGTCTTGATCTTCAGAGAGATTAAAGTCACCACTTGGCATCTGATCCTTGGATATAAATCCAAGGTCCGCATCCACAGCAAAGCTAAAGAATATGTTGTTGTGTACGTACCTGAAAATGAAGTATTAGGGGGGAATTGTACGGAATGGCACTAAGAAGTATATTTTTTTAAAGTATGACAGCATAAGGGTACCTGAGAACATTGTATTCATTGCTTTTTTTACAAATAAGGTGGGTACTATTAAATAATGCTCATAAAAATCTTACATTTGACAGTAGCAACAGATCAGGGCTATCCCAAACCATAGCAGTCATTTCCCAACCCCATGCTTCCTTTCCATTGCTAAACCAAACCACAGCCTTTGTTGTTACCAAACCAAACCTTATCACCAACTGCACCTCACTCGTAATCTTTATTTCTTACACACAAACACACTAATCTCAACTTATCTATCATTTGGGTAGACACCACGTCCTGTAGCTGTTTCTGTCTATTATGATAAGACTGCACACATTTTCCATCACAGTGTAAAAAGTCTAAAAGATATTATGACGGAGTTATTATTTCACTCTCGTGAGGTCTATCAGATGATCCACTAAACCATTAGCTTCTCACCAATATCGCTTGGAAGCTTATGTTTTTATATTCCAATTTTCATTAAGGTTGTAAGTGAACCAATGCACTAGATGAACAACTCGAACTCCGCTCAATTAACACTCGATCATGCTCATTCAAATTAATAAATAAACCAGTTGAACATGTTTTAAAAGCTCGGAACTTAAATTAACTAAACATGAACATAGTTTAACTTGTTCATTTATGTTCCTGAACAAACTCGTTTGTTGTTCAACAACAAGCTCTTAAATACTCAATATTAAACTCGAAAATAATTCTTTCAAATATATTATATTATTTAATAAAATTTAATTAACTAGAGTTTATTTAATTATAGATTTAATAATAATATAGTATTATATCAATAATATTTTTTGATTAATTATTAATTATATATTTATTTTATTAAAGTTTAGGTGTTAGATGTTAAAATATAAAAGATTTATGTAGTAAGTATGAAATGTCTCTTAACTCATCTTTAAACCCACGTAAACCTGACTTTCCCTCTCCTCTCTCATAGTTTCGTGTCGTCCGATTTCGCTTGACGCATGTGAAACCCTGAAACTGTGTCTCCCGATTTCACTTGATTCCCGAAGTTGTTAGAGTGTGAGAGTATTGAAGACAACGATGAGATTATGGTGTGCAAGGATCTCTGAAACTCTAGTGTCTCGTATCTCCCTTTTCCAATCTGCTCATAAATTCAACCTGATTTAAAAGTAGTATTGAGAAACTGTAGTGCAATTATTGTAAGTTATATATATATAT